TAAATCAATGATTTGGATAATGGAAAACAATTGTAGGTAGTTTTTTTATAGTTATTAATTTAAAAATTTTAATGTTTTCTAGTAAGGGACATTTGACTTTTATCCCTGCCTCTCTTTTTAGGGACCCATCTTTAGTTATGACAAGATAATCGGAAAAGAAGCAAGAAAATAGATAATGAAGATGCAAGAAAAAGTATGTAATCACTTCTGAAAAAAAATATGAAATGCAAGATATGAAAAGGTGATTGAATAGAAATAGAAATCAGGATCCGCAAATATATTAAGATAAAAAGACCATTATATCTATGAGATCAGAAAAGAAAGAATAAAATTACATAAAGTTAATCCAGTGAAAAACTGATATATGAAGAAAAAAGAATCAAAGATAAGAAGCTGAAAGAAATCTTATTAAATAAAGTGAAGTATGATATTTAGTAGTGACCTGTGAACAATAATATTAGAAGTTGAAAGGGTTTTCACCTGAACCTCTAACAGAGTGATAAATCACTCCTGAAGTTGCACTTAGAGAGGTAATACAACCAAAACGAGTGAGTTAATTAGAGATTTAGCTTTATCATTTCATTTAATATATACAACTTATAAATGTTTAATAAAGCATACATAACTAACCTGACAGAGGGTTTTTAAAAAAAAAAAAAAAGCAATTTATTTGGAGGGAAAATGGTAATAATAATGATTTAAAGAATAGTCCAAGCATTCATAATAGTCTAATAGTGAGTAATTTTTTTAGAAAAATAATCTATCTTTATTGCATGTTCTTTTTATATTACTGTTCAGCTTTAATTGAATTGAGTTGGTTCAATATATTTTACAGTATATTGGTCGACGATCCTGACGCGTAATATACAGTACGTACATATATAAAGATATACTAGCTATTTCAATTATTTTGCTGTTTAAACAAAAAAAGGCTTGCTTATGGCAGATATTAATATCACCGAAGGTTTCACTTTTATTTCTTATTTATTTTCAACAAGTAATAAAGAAATTAAGTTCTTGTTTTCTTTGCTTTCATCTTGTGCAAATAAGACGAAGCTGCTCTGTACGATAGACAGATCAGGCTATGGGGTTTGGAAGCTCAAAAACGGTTAGTTACATATGTTACGTGTAATTTTGTTTCTTTCTTCTATGTTGCTAATTTTTATCGTTCTAAAAACAAATTTTCAAATATTTGTTTTGAAAGGATTCGTACTTCATCAATTCTAATATGTGGGATGAGCGGTTTAAGTAATGAAATATGCAAAAATCTCGTTTTAGCTGGAGTTGGTGCTATTACGATTATTGATCATAATACGATCATCGAAGAAGATTTGGGTGCACAATTTTTCGCGACGGCCGAAGATGTTGGAAAAAATGTATGTATGTCTACTCTATGAAGTAAATAAAATTTTAGATAATAACAGGAATATCTTATATTAAATTCTTTCTATTTACATAGAAAGCTCTGGCTTCGGCGGATCGAATTCATCAATTAAATCCTCGTGTAGTAGTCACACCCGATACAAGTAATTTAAGCACTAAACCTGATGAATTTTTTGAATCATTTGACTTAATATGTCTCACTGATAAAGATCCTGAGACTATGGTGGGTAATATTTAGAAACTTTACAAACTCCGATTTTATATTTTACTCGTTTTTCTTTGCTTTTTTTATAGATTCGAGTCGATCAGATCTGTCGTAAGTTTGATAAGATGTTCTACGCGGCTGGTACCTATGGCTTTTTTGGTTATATATTTTGTGATTTAAAGCAACATGAATATATAGTGTAAGTAGTATTAATCTATTAGAAAGGACTCCATTACTACCTTTCTGTGAACAGTCATTAGTTTTCATCATATTCGATCAGTTTTCTCTGATACTTAATGACCTGAAATGCACAGTGAACGAAAGATTAAATTACCACATTCTGAAGAACATCAAATAAAAGTCTTGAAAAAGAAAGAAGAATATATTAGTCTGCAAGATGCTTTATCTAAATCAGACTGGTCAAGAATGAAAAAACTTCGAAAGATTTCTCCATTATTATGGGCCATTCAAAGTATTTTATTTTTTCAGACTTTATTGTTATTATTATTGCGAGAAATTCGTTAGAAACCAATTATCATTTAGTTCTGTGGAAATTTCAACAAGAGCAAGGCCGATTGCCAAATTCCACAGATATTGAGATATTAAAATTGGTAAAGAATTCTTACTTGCAATCAAATGACATCGATGGTACAATCATCCCGGATGAACTTATTCAGTAAGTATAAAATATACTCTTTTATGGGTAAATTCGTCGTAAACTAATTAGATTTTATATTATTAAGAACACTCTTGACGAATGTGAAAACTGAAATAGCACCTGTATGTGCAATTCTAGGCGGAGTATTGGCCCAAAATATTCTAAATGTTTTATCTCAAAAAGGGTTGCCTATCAATAATTTCTTTTTATATAGTGGATTTCAAGGTAAGAACGTGATCGCATGCATATAGAAAACACAATTAATTAAACTCATTGATATTTTCAGGTAATGGATATGTTTATAATGTTGAACAAGGAAAGAACATATTTAACGAAAATATTATCGACAAATAATAAGTCGAACATGATGAGATAATAAACAAGAGTAATTAGTAGTTCCAATTATTACTTATTTTGTTTCGGCTATAACTTTGTCACTTGAGGACATTCAAAATCATAAATCTATGTGTACCTCTAGATCTGTATAATGATTTTTACGTCAAAAAGCAGATAATAAATTATTTTATTAATTCGTATTTTATTTCTTACATTTTTTAAAAAAATTTTTTATTAATATATTTCAAAAGTTTTATTATTGTTAAATTTTTATCTTTATTTTTTTATTAATTATTGTATAATTTATGATACAACTAATCAAAATTCTTCAAAAGTAAAAATTTGATAAAGAAAAAAAATTTTAATAATAATAAAACTTTAAAATTTATATATAAAAATTTTTTGAAAAAAATATAATAAATAAAACTAGTATTAGGATATAATATATATAATTTTTATAATTTTTGATTGTATAAATAAGGATTTAAAAATTGGCAAAGTTGAAATTTGTAATAAAAATATAGTAAATGAATTCAAATTTTTGTAAATAACTATATTTAAAGCTTTTTGTACATTTAAATTAATAATATATGGATAATTATTTTCGAAAGTATTAAAAAGATTAATTAAAAATTTTCAGTGATCTTTTTTTGAATACATAATTTTTGATATTCTTTTTTATATCCTTTTTTATATTTAGTAATTATTAATTCTTGATTATTAATCTTAATCATTTAATTAATCAATTAATAATTACTTAATCATTTAATTAATCAATTAATAATTACTTAATCATTTAATTAATCAATTAATAATTACTTAATCATTTAATTAATCAATTAATAATTACTTAATCATTTAATTAATCAATTAATAATTACTTAATCATTTAATTAATCAATTAATAATTACTTAATCATTTAATT